TTTTTTGCTTCGCTGGCGATCATCAAAATTCTATCATTTGATTGGCTGTTGATCACATGATGTGCCTCTGCTTTAGATGACCCCCATATATAGCTGTCGACGGTTTAGTTATTAGTGCTTTCTTTTCTCTGGTTATATCTCAAGATATTTCTAAGTTCTAAAGTCTAATAATCTTTGTAAAGGGGAAGCATTTGCTATATCTGATCTATACAAACTAGCCAATAAGTTTAACTCTAAACACAATTGCCTATTGCTAATCGCTTTATAGTATCTAGAAGACTATTGAATTTAAATTCTGTTTTATATTTTTCTTTTTTTATTCTTTTTTTTATTTTCTTTAAATAAAAGATTGTCTACTTGGCACTCGTGTCTTTTAAAATTTACTATAGCTTGCTAGTTTTTAGTAAATTTTATTACAATTTGATGACGATGACAGGACCAATCTTTCCAATTTAAAGGAAATATTCAGTATATATGAGCACAGCTCTACCTCGAATTGCAATATTTAGAGAACCAGATTATTTTTTTACACAAACCAGGAAACCATTAGCTTTATTTTCTTCTTCTTCTTCTTCTTCTTTTTCTTCTTCTTGTTCTTCTTCTTCTTCTATTATTTCAAATTCTAGATCTCAGAAACAACTAATTGATAATTATTAAAATAACAATATGGATAATCTTTAAAATTTATAAAAAAATGCTATTAATCAATTTGACTATATCATAAATAACAATAATGAACAATGATCATAGTTTAGATAATTTATATATTAATAACGGTTCTTTTTTTAATGATCTTCCTTCTAATGATCAGGATACAGAAGCTGGTGTTCACTTTGCATCAAATCCCTATATATATTCTCCAATATATCAATCTTCTAAAATAGTATCTCACAATTCACCTTCTATGCCTTCAACTTCAACAAATATTCTATTTATATTAACTTCAACTTCAACAAATGTTCTACTGATAAGTTCATCATCATTAGCTAATAAGGATAAACAATCATCTATTAAGTTGGATGACTTATCACCTTTTAATTTTGAAAACCTACCTGAGAAAACAATACCTAATGATCCTCAAGTTCAACAAGTTCTTTATCACTTTAACCGTTTAGTTAAAGCTATAGAAAAAGGACAATCTCAATTTTCCAAGAAAACTTTTCTTGTCTAAATTCCTGTCTTTAAAAGAGGTGAACAGGATCCTATATATTGGCTAAATAAATTTGCAACTACATGTTCTGTTAATAATATCTAGAAGCTTTGAATATTAATTATTATTCCTGCTTATCTAAAAAGATCAGCACAGTTCTAGTAGAGGACTGTTGCTAATAAAGTTCAGTATTGGAAGAATGATTTAAGGCCAGCTCAATCTTTTGTCCATTTATTCCAACTAGAGATAGACAAAATACAAAATTATCATTTTAGCATGCACATGCACATGCATTTTTTGCATGCATGCATGCATGTTTTGGCCAAAATTATGATTTAATTTCTTAATGCCAGCCAGAATTAATTGCATGTTTTGCATACCATACATGCAATTGCCCATCTCTAATTCCAACTTCAATTTTGTACTACCCATCAAAAATCTCGATGGCTTGCTAATCTTTGATCTTGAGTTCAACAACTTGGTAAAACTGTTAAGGATTATTATGCTGAATTGGAACATCTATATTGAAAAATTGATCCAAATAATCGATATCCATTAGAGGATAAACTACAGCAATTTATTGATAGACTAAGGAGTGAAATTCAGAAATCAGTTGAAATTTCTTGTCTACTACTATAGCTCAGGCCTTAATTCATACAAAGCTGCTGAAGCTGCTTTTTCTCAAGAAATGCCTCTTGATTCTTATTCTCTAAATAGGGGATATCTTAACCATTACTCTCCTTTTTTCCATCATTCTGATAATACTATTCCTATTAATAACCAGCCTAATAATGAAGTTTCTCAAGCTGTTCAGGCTATTTTAAACTATTTT